TTTAAAAAAAAAAAAAAATTTTTTTTTTTTTTTTGGTAGTACTGGGGATTGAACCCAGCACATGCTAGAAAAATGTTCTAGCGCTGACCTACATCCCCAACTTTTAAAATTTTTATTTTTTGAGACAGTTTCCTAGACTGGCCTCAAACTTGCCATCCTCCCTCCCGCCTTTGCCTCCTGTGTAGCTGAGATTATAGGCATGCGCCACCATGCCCAGCTTTCTCAGTTGCTTTTTGTATGTGTGTGTATGTGACACTGAAAGATAAAATCCAGGGGCACTCTACCACTGAGCTATATCCCCATCCCTTTTTAAATTTTTATTTTCAGAAGACAGGGCTATCCAAGCTGGATTTGTGATCCTTCTGCCTCAGCCTCCCAGACTGCAATTGCTTCTTTCTAAAACATTCTGAAGTAAGCTGAACAGGTGTTCTCTCTACTTTACATGGAAGAAAACTGAGGTGAATAGACACCCTGACTTGTTCTGGACACGTAGGAGTAAATACGTAGGTGAGGCAGCACTTTGACTTGAGAGCTTCTGAGCCCAAATCCAGCGCTCTTTCCAGTCTCCCATGTGCCCCTAAGTGGAGTGAGGGACAGGACATAGACAGGTGGGATCCAAAGGAGGCAACTGCAGGAACAGCATGGCCTTGTTGAAGGCACGGAAGTGACAAGAATATAAACTGTTCAAGGGACTTACTTGGACCTGGGGCTTTGTTCCTTGGGACTTTGATTGCTTGTCTCAGTTCTCTGTACCTTAATATTCCCCATGTGGAAAGAGGCTAATAATTGTCTCCAATTTATGACTTTTTAGAAAGTTCTTGTGACAACCTGGGAAGAAACCCATGGTGACCAGAGGCTGAGTTAAGAACAAAGGGTTGTGGTTGTTGGGCTGAGCATGTGTGTGTCCTACACAAAGGTTCTTCCTGCTGCTTTGCAAATTAGAGCCATGAAACAACAGAATGGTCAGTGTTCGTTGGGTAAATCTTTCTTAATTCACTTCCGTGGGAGAATACAAACATTAAATTATAATTATGCTTTTATGTCTTGGCATCAGGTAGCCTGGCCACATGTGAAATTCTCCTGGACCCCTTAAATGGAAAGTCATTCTTTGCTTTGTCTGCCATTTACTTCCCTCCCTTCTGCTTCCTCTCTTCTTGGGTCTTTATAAGTCTCCAAGAGGGGGCAAAGGGCCACTGTGGAAATGTAGGATGTTGGTATTAAGAAAACTAAAAACCAAGAACCAACGAATTCGCCTCACCTAAAGGAATGAATAAGCCTTCTGAAAACATACTTTTCTTCTTTCTTATCTTTTCCTACCTCCCTCCCACAAAGGAGCAAGCTCCAGAAACTATTTTCTAATTTTCACTTTCCACAGGAAGTGAAATTATGTTCACAAGGGGATATATTCAGATATATCATTGTTTACTCATCTATAAAATGTAAAATTCTGGTGTTTTTATAATAGAACTCAGTAATTTTGAATTTGGGGTAGATATACATTAGTGTTGTTTATTAACATAGAACAGACAACATTCTCAGGCTCCATTTTTTTTTTTCTTTTTTTGCAGTAGTAGGGATTGAATCCAGAACCTTACATACTCTAGGCAAGTACTCTACCACTGATCTGTGTCCCTGACCTTTTTTATTTTACTTTGAGGCCTAGGTTGACCTCAAACTTGTGATCCTCTTGCCTCAGCCTCCCAAGTAGCTGGTATTACAGGCATACCCCACTTAGCTTCATAATTTTTTACAGGGTTTTACTTTGTAGTTCAGGCTGGTCCTAAAGTCACTATGTAGCTTAGGCTGGCCTTGAACTCATGGCAATCCTCCTGTCTCAGCCTCCTGAATACTGGAATTATAGGTATGCACCACCATGCCCAGTTATAATTTTTAATAGAATATTTACTGTATACTCATTGGTGCTGCTTTTTCTTTTTAAAGAGTTTTTACTATTTGAGGGCTTTGCTTATAGCTGAGTGGTACAGTATTTTTTTTTCTTTCTTTCTGGCACCAGGGATCAAACTCAGGACCTTGGGCTTGAGAGGCAGGAGACAACACCACTGAGTTAAATCCCCAACTCAGGAGCAGCATTTTCTTAGCATGCAGGAAGTTCTTAGGTGCAGTTTCTAGTACCAAAACAAAAACAAAAATTTTTTTACTATTCTTAGTACATTTTTCTAAAGCACGTGACTCAATTGGAGATTCTCTATCAAACAGTGGGAGGTGGTTTGTGTTTAAATGTGTATATATGCATCTATATCTGGCTGTTTCAAAAGAGAATTTGTGGTGGTTCCACAATTTTTACAGTAACTTTTTTTTTTTTTTGGTGGTACTGGAATTGAACTTGGGTCCTTGCGCTTGCAAGGCAGGCCACTGAACCGCTGAGCTAAATCCCCAGCTCTACAGTAATTTTTTTCTGATCAGACAATGTATTTTCATTGTAAAATATATGTTTGAAAATGGGACTATCTCTCCTCACATATACAGTCCTGTGGCCTGCTTTTCCCTGGCCTTGCCATCCTCTCCTGGCTGCAGGATTGCTTTCTATTGTTCTTGATGGTTTTAGCTCCTTTTGCTCAATTACTTTCCATGACTTCTGTTATGAGGTCAGTATAAGTAGATTACTTTCCAACAACCTGGCTTTTCACTTTCTTGATCTCTCTTCTGTCTTAGGCCATCATTTCTCAGATTTCAAGACCCATAATCATAACCGTGTATAATCTCAGTTATATGAACCTTTCTCTGGCCTTACTTTAGTACCCAACAATTTTCTCCTTTGTCTAACCTATGACCCATTGATTCTCCTGCCTTTTCACAGCCCCTCTACCCACTGCTGTTTTCCTTGCAAAACTTAAATTGCATGGTTATCATGATGGTCACTTCCCACAAACCCTGAATATTTCCTTAGCCCTGACTACTCATTTTACATGGTTGGCAGAGCCAGCACACTCTGGTTAAATCTAACTGCAGGCCTGTGGCTGCATCCATGTGGCTGGGTAGTCTTGTGTTTTTTGTTTTTTGGTTTTTTTTGCTTTGTTTTTTTTGTACCGGGGATTGGACTCAGGACCTTGAAGGCAGGTGGCGGCACCATTGAGCTAAATCCCTGGCCCTGGGTAATCTTGTTTTAAACCCGCTACCTCTCCTGGGCCCTGAGTGTATTTGCCTACCTTGTTTACTTCCCTGTTCTCCTAGGTGGCCCTGTTCATCACACCTCCTCTCTCTTCAAATTTCCCACACCTCTTTCTAATCCTCCCTGTTGGTTCTTCTTCTCAGCTGTCTTTGCTACCTTGCTCCTTCTCTGGTCTGTTCATCTTGGAATACCCCATGAATTCAGACCTCTTCTTGGTCCAGTTGCTTTCCCTGCAGTCTCCAGGCCCTGAGGACCATCTATTTGTCAGTGATCAGCAAGTTTCTGTCTCCTGCCTAGACTTCTTCCTGGAAGGCAACTGACTTTTTGTTTTTCCACTTGCATCTCTGATCTAGGGTTTCTCCCTATTGACGTTTTGAGTAGCTTTGCTATATTATATATAACATGTAGTGTATTCCTGGCCTTGTCAGATGCTATTGGCAATCTCCCTCCCAGCTATGACAACCAAATATAGCACCAGACATTGACAAATGTCCTGTGGTGGGCAAAAATGCTCCTGAGTGATAACCAAAGATAAAGGCATTGTGATGATGTGTATGACTTCTGAGTGACTTTTCTCAGGATCAACAGGCCTACTGTGAATTGGATTACTTTCTTGATTTCTTTCTCTGAAAGTTCATTATTGGTGTATAAAAATGCTACTTTTTGTATGTTGATTTTTTCTTGATACAGGGGATGGAACTCAGGACCTTGGGTATGTTGATTTTGTACTTTGCAACTTTGTGAAATGTTTTCCAGGTCTAATAATCTCTTGGTAAAGTCTTTAGATTTTTCTATGTATAGACTCATGTTTGTCTTTGATTATCTTTAATAATCTGTGATTATCTGATAACTTATTTTTGTGAATTTCCCTAAGCCAAAGATGAGATTTTTTTTTTTTCTCCAGAAGAGGTTTACTTTTGTCTGCTAGTGTTCAGCAGAACCACCAGGCTAGGGCCACTAGCAGTGCTCCGCTTATGTCTTTGTGGACCTCTCCAGTGAGGATTTACAGCTGGAAAGTAAAGAATAGATGAGTAGCATGCACACTTTTTTTTTTTCATTCTGTAGATTTTGAATTGTTTTCAGTGTAAAAAATAATACTCTTTTCAATCATGCTCATTAGTAAAGAACTAAAAAAAAATTTTCCAACTAATAGTTTTGTTCTCTAAAATGTTTTCTTTCTTTACATGTACCATGCTAGAAATTCTATTGTTCCCAGGTTGGGAATATTTCAGTGAAAGTCACAATTAAACGATGAAGTTAAACATTGTTCTTGACTTCTGTCCTGGTTAGCTTTAGTATTGCTTTGGAAGATGAAACTCATGTGAAAGGAAACAAATGTGTCCATCCTGTCCCCTCCCTGCTCCAGTATCTGTCTCAGGTCAAAGCAAGTAGCCACGCAGGAGCACTAGCTCTACTACAGAGAAGTTACCTGGTTGGGTAGGGAGGGTGCTGGTCACTTAGAAGACTCAAGATTTAACTATTTGGATGGCACAGAGCCAAAGTAGATCACATGCAATAATTCCTTGTTCATGTAAATGAAAAAATATGGCCCTCAAAGTTAGCTTCTTTTGAAATATTTTTGAGGCTGAACTCAGAGAGCCACTACAAAGGCTCTGACTGTCCTATACAGATAAGCCAAGTGTGGCGAATGACAATGAAGTCTGGAAGTTGAGTATGGAAAACTTGTGGTTCTTGTGGAAATTACAAGAACAGTGTCATTGGTACCACTAGACATGTTTCTTTTGTGAGAAAGTCCTGTGGTGTCTGTTTCTCAGACTCAAAGATACCTGGGCAGTGAGTCACTGATGTTCTTCTGCAACATGGAGCTAAGATCCTTTGCTCCTCAGAGAGAACGGGCACAGCATGAAATTTCTGCCAGTGGTGCCTGGAAATACTGCGCCTGCCAGCCCTTGGCTGCACTTGCCGTTGCATTATTTTGGTAGGGCTTCTAGAGGGGTGAGAGTCAATACTGTTCCCCCTTTTTGTGGGACTGTTCCCAAAATAGTGTCATACTGTTTTCTGGTTTCCAGTTCTGCATGTAAATTGCAATCCAACCCATTAACAGGTTGAAAGCTAAACAAGCTGAACAGTTAACACTTGTTAGATCAGCAAGAGAAGTCACAGGGCAAACTGCTGCCCACAGCACTGGAGAAATCCAGACAGGCAGTCCCTTCACAAGTGTCTGACTACTCAAGACTTTATGGAAAAAGTCAGCTTCCTCTCAGTAGTGCTAGATGGAAAAAATGGGCAGTACAATAGGACAAATATGGATGCTGCAGGCTCAGAGTTCCTTTCCAGACTAGCAGGTTTCCCATGAGAGCTTTGTTACAGAAATCTTATGTGATTGCTGAGTGTAGATGGATAAACAGCTGCTTTAAAGCTCCCCAGTTTCAATTGTTTTTTTTTTTTTTTCTTGAACATGGGTGGGAGAGGAAGAAAGAGTGAGGGAGTCAGGACAGAGAGGGAGGGAGGGGGAGAGAGAAGCATATAATCATACTTTAAAGTGAATGGAGGGCCGGGGATTTAGCCCAGTGGTGCTGTGCCTGCCTGGCAAGCACAAGGTCTTGAGTTCGATCCCTGGTACCAAAAAGAAAAAGAAAAACCAAACCACAACAAAAAGTGAATGGAAAGCAACATCCAAACCATCTTCAAAATCAAGAAATGGGACATTGCTGCTCCCACAAAAGCACTCTGCATGTTTCTGCACTTCTTAAGTGTGATATGAAAATACCTTGGTTTCCTTGGTGTTTATTATGTTGAATGGACAATTAACTAAGCATGGGTGCATCAGGACAGTGTGCACATTTCATCATAAAGTTTGTACTGTTGTTGCTGTTCCACAAAAAGCTGCCTCTGTGATCGAAACTGTGTACTAACATGGGAGAGACAGAGCTGGGTAAACCAGAAGGCCTAACCCCCAGGTGGATGATAAAGATGTGTCATTTTCCACAAAGGCAATATTGTTTCCTAAAGTCTCCGTTATGACAAACACTGGGAAGTGGAGGAAGCTGGCTCCCTGCAGGAAGCAGCCTTCCCAGAATCCTCTGCCACAGCTTCTCCCTGCCCAGGTCCTCCTCTCCACCTTCTGGTCCTGACTCCCCAGCTTCTCAAATCTCTGGGCTAATTTCCACAGCCCAGGGGCAGGGAGCCCCCAGGGAGTGTGCAGCAAGTTTCCCTAGGGCACAGATAGTGTCTCCTGGAAAGCTTCTCCATCTTGGAACACCCTCCTTGGCTGCCCTCTGGAAGTCCTCCCTTCTTAAATGCCTTCCTCATATCTTGTCATCTTCATTGTCTTTGGCTCACCCAACTTCCTTTATTTTGACTTTGCTTCAGCATTGACTCCAGTGTTTTCTGTTTGGATTGTTTCTCGCGTGCCTTTACTCTGGCTGGTCAGGGACCACCGACCACATCTCTCCTCCACTGTATTCCCCACCACCAGCGCCATGCTGGGGACCCAGAGCAAGCCACAAAGGGTGGAACCAATTCGTTGAATATAATAAATTCAAAATGTTATCCATTTTCTGGGTGCGGTGGCACATACCTGTAATTCCAACACTCTGGGAGGCTGGGGCAGGAGTATCAAAGTTGGAGCCCACCCAGCCTGGGTGATTCAGCCATTTTTTTCTCTCATTGAGTTTATCGGTACATTTTAGGTATACCGTACAGTTACATTTATTATTGGGATCTTGTACCTTTACATACAGGTCTTGGTTCTCATTTTCCCCATACCCTTGCCCTCCCCTCCCTCCTCCTCCCTTCCCTATTTACAAAAACTTTATTTCCATTTTTTCGTTTTCTCATATTTTTTTCTTTTCCCTTATTTCCTCTGTGGTTCAGCAATTTAGACCCTGTTTCAAAACTTTAAAAACTTTAAATAGGGATGGAATATAGCTCAGTATGAAGCCTCTGGGTTTAATCCCCAGAAATGAAAAAAAAAAAAGTGACCAATTAGCACTTTCCCATGCACCCATCTCAGGCATGTTTTCTATAAAATTCACCATGAAAAATTAATACACGTTGATGGTTTTGAAGCTCCACCTTTCAAAGTGTACATTTCCCACTATTGAAGTAGAAAATAAATGATGCACAGAAAATAAATGGTAATATTGTGTGTGGCCTTAAAGGACTATGAATGACAGATAATGATAATAATAATAATTTTATGACCTGTACTAATCTGTTTTCTTGTCCGTGTTCTTCTGTGTAGTCACTTCGGCTTTCCCCGGGGCAGTATGAGGTTCTTCCTGAACCAGTTCCCAAGTACCCTTCCAGGTAATTAAGTACTTATTAGTTAACTTACTTTTACCCAGGCACAGTAGCAGAGACTGAGACAGAAGGATTACAAGTTTGATGTCCTCCCAGGGAAATTAATGAGATCCTATCTCAAAATAAAAAATAAGGGCTAGGGGTGTAGCTCAGTGGTAGGGCACTTGCCTGGCATCCTGGGTTCCATTCCCAGTACTGCAAAAAAAAAAAAAAGTTACTTTTAATCATCTCACTTAGGTCTATTTACATATGTACTTACATACTAATATCACAGCTTTTAATATTCCTTTTTTTTTTTTTTGAGACAGGGTCTCACACCATGTAGTTGAGACTGACCTGGAACTCACTATGTAGGCCAGGCTGGTTTCGAACTCACAGTGATCCTCCTTCCTCAGCCTCCCGAGTGCTGTGATTACAGGCATGCGCCACGACACCCAGTTTATTTACAGCTTTTAAACCTCACCCAGGCATCTCCTATCCAGGTTGTCATTTTTAAATATGTAACAAGAGGAAGTAAATTAACAAAGATCTTCACTTTTAAAAATATATTTAGAAAAATCAGTGTTTTCTTTTTTAATATTTTAGGAACTTCGTATTTCGTTCTGCAGTTCAAAGATTCCCTACCACCTATTTCATTCCTGTAAGTGTAATGTAGATGGTTAACTCATGATGAATTTGATGAATACAATGTACAGTGATTCCTTTTGATATACTAACATTTTGCCTATGATACTGATAAGCTATGAATGGTTAATGCACTTGACTTAAGATATACTTAAAGTATACCTGAAGATACACTGGGAATTTTCATGTAAATAACCCATTTATGTCACATTATAGAGGAAAATGCCTGGCTCCTTAACTTTGTCAAAGAATTTCCTATACAACATGGTATCATTACTAGCTGTGCTATTGAAAACATCAAGATCCGTGAAGTACTGCACCTGTTAACTTGGTTTAGCCATTCCGCAGTGTATACATGATACATGTATTATAGTTTCTATTTATCAAAGGAAAAAATGACTTTTTAAAAAAGGTCTTCCTGGGCTGGGGATTTAGCTCAGCAGTTCGGTGGCCTGCCTTGCAAGCACAAGGACCTGAGTTCAATCCCCGGTACCAAAAAATTAAAAATAAAAAAATAAAAAAGGTCTTCCTTTGTGCACTGTCAGTGTCTCACCATCAGGCTGAAAAACATGATCAAACATGCTTTCTTAAAATATTTTTCTTCTCACCAAAAACACTACCAGTTAAGCACCATTTGGTGCCATAAATCACAGCACAGCAGCCTCTGCTCCTGCCACCCCCATAATCTGTTTCCTTGAGGGCAATCATTTGCAACTAGTTTAGCCAGTTCTCTGGTGTTTTCATCCCTATTTCCACACAATAGCCTTAATTCCGCTACCATTTTCTTTATTTATTTTTTCAAATTGAAGCACTAGTTCTGTGTATGGAATATGAGCCTGTAGCTCTCAAATCTCCACCACACAAAACCCCTCCTCTACCCTCACTAGTTACATCACACTTTTTAATCTCAAAATATGTGCTGGATATATTTTAATTTTGCTCTTGTTCAGCCATATAGTATATTGCAATTAAGTTTCATGAATTTTCCATTTTCTTGGAGTCAATAACTGCTTTACTTTTGGTTTGCTTAATTTGTTAAGAACGAACTCCACCTTCTCAAGAGAACTATAAATTCTCAAACGGTCAAATACATTCATTGCTTTTACTTTTTGTCTTTTGGAGACAAACCTCCTGGTACTTTCTGTGTTCTTCCTGCAAGCTAGACTGGATGCTTTCTAGCTTGATGTTCTGTGGCCATGGGACATTACTTCACCGCTCTCTTGGAAATTTCTCAGTATGGGTGCCATTTTGGTAGAACGTGGGCCTCAGCAGATTCCCTCTCAGACTTGGCAGTGGCTCCTTCTCTGACAGAGGTTTCCAGGGGGTGAAATGAAAGCTGGTGCACAGGTTGGGGCACAGACACAACTCTCAGGGGATCCACACTGTGGAAGGTTTGAGGAACGCGTGACAAGGCAGTTAGCTTTGTGCCCCTGAAGCAGGATCTTCACATGGGTCTACAGTGTTTGCAGAAGCAGCAGCCCAGACTCCTCTGTGGCACAGAGCAGGAACTCAGCCACAGGGTCTGCTATTGTCAGTGTTGTTATTTTAATACTTCTAGCAAAAGCTCAGGATAAAAAAGCCCTAGGCAAGGAGGAGGCCTAGAAGCTGGGCTCCCCTGCTTGCTTCCTAGGGAGATCTTTCCTACTCGCCTACTCAGAATTCCCAGGCTCCCTCTTCGCATTTATTTTTCCCTGTAGCAGCCCTCACTATCTGATACACTACGTTCTACAGTTTACCTATCCTGTTTTTATCTGTCTCCTCTGGTGGAAAGTACAAAGGCAAAGGCGAGGGCTTTTATCTTTTTGTTTTGTGCTCCCAGCACTTAGAATGTGGCTGGCACATGGTATTTGTTGAATTAGCTAATTAATGAAGCCAGCAGAGATATTCAATGGACTGTTGTGTTAACAAAAAGGGAAAGTGTCTCTAGTTTCTTTTCTTTCAAAATGTGAAATAGTCTGTTTTTAAATATTTTCAATGGCTAGGGATTACACTGCCTGCTTCGCATGCTTAAGGTCCTGAGTTCGATCCCCAGTACCCCCCCAAAGAAGATATACTTAAATATTTCCAAATACATGTACATGAGTTGTGATAAAAATGAACTTTTCTAGATCAGTAGCTAATGAGTAGGCACCAAAAATGAATAATGATATAAATCTGGAAAAATGAGAAGATGTAAAAGTATTTTGTGGTGCTTTGATGGACTATAGGTATTTGTAATAACAATCTTGGATTCTTTTTTTTTTTGTGGTACTGGGGATCGAACTCGGGTCCTTGGGCTTACGAGGCAGGCCACCGAACCTCTGAGCTAAATCCCCAGCCCAACAATCTTGGATTCTTAACCAATGGTACAGTAAATATGGACAGAGGAATTAAGATGATTGAACAGGGCTCATAGACACATCCTAGAATATACAAGAATTTATGCTGGTCAGGACATATGATGAGGTAATAGGGAAAGGGAGAGACAATTAAGTTGAGGAAAAGTGTTAGATTCTTGCTTTGTAATACACATTATAAAAGTTCCACATTAAGCTGGGCGTGGTGGCACACGCCTGTAATCCCAGCACTCGGGAGGCTGAGGCAGGAGAATCACTGTGAGTTCGAGACCAGCCTGGCTACATAGTGAGTTCCAGGTCAGTTTCAACTACATGAAACCCTGTCTCAACCAAAAAACCAAACCAAACCAAACAAAAGTTCCACATTGATTATAAAATTAGGTACTTTAGAAATCATAAAATCTGGAGAAAATATATGAGTATATGTCTAATTTTAGGGTAAGGCAGACTTTCTGAAATAATAGCAATTAATGAAATTTCAAAGGAAATTTGATTACAGAAAGTTTAAATTTTTTGTGTATCAAAGTAAAAACCTGTAAGCAAAGTAAATAGGCAAATGCAAATTAGGAAAAGCATTTTCAATAAACATAGCAGGTGGCTACTGGGGCTATCTCAGTGGTAGAATTTAACTCCAAAACAAAAAAAAAAAAAAAAAAAAAAAAAAAAAAAGTCAGATAAAGTGTCACTGACCTTATTGATAAAATTCTCTTAATATATGGGAACACAGCAAAATAAAAATAAAACAGATAAAGGCCTTGAATGGACAATTCATAAAATGAAGGATTCAGATACCTGTTAAGGGTGGAAGAAATGTTTGGATCTCATGAACATTTCAATATGAGAAAGTAAAGCCTGATCTGAAAGCTCTCTGGATGTAGCTGGTGGTGTAGGCTGAGCAACAGACCCCAGAGGTGTGTTCATATCCTAGGGACCTATGGGAGCTGGGGATCCTGAGACCTCTGAATGTGCCCTCATCTGGGGGAGACTTTGCAGATATGATTCCATTAAGGACTTTGAGATAGGGAAATTATTCTGGATTACCAGGTAGGATCACAATGCAGTCACAAGTGTCCTTGTAAGACAGACTTGGAAGCTACCAGTGGCTGCAAAAGGCAAGAACAGATTCTTCCCAAAAGCCTCCAGAGCAAGCTTGGCCCTGTTGATGCCTTGAGTTGAGCCCAGCAAACAGATTTCCAGCTTCAGGCTTCAGGACAGAAGAGTTTCTGTTATTTATAGTCATTTGCTGCAGCAGCCACACAAGAAGAATATAGGCGGGGATTCTCTGCAGGGGGGTTTCACGGTGGATAGGTGGGTGAGGACTGCTTTTCCCTTAGTGGCCCGTGAAGTACCTTTTCTCTAGGATAGGTAAGTTGCCTCAGAAAGACAGGTCAGCCTTTCCTGGGACACAGGCTGGTTACCAGCATGCTGGGCGCCAAGAGGGGAAGGGGCCTGGTCTCACAGTCAGTGTGGAAGAGCTCACCAGATTTCAGTATGCAGTAAAGGTCCCTGTTTCGCTGTGCCTAGGACTTGAGAGAGTTCAGATCTGTGCTGCCCTCTCCCTAGAAGCCCTGGTCTCGAATGGGAAGGGGCTGAGGTGGGGCAGGACCACGGGTGAGAATGTTCCCCCAGACTTCCTGCTGACAGCCCCTCTCCTCCAAGCGCCTGATGCCTGAACTTCCTGATCCTTTCTTGGGTTCTGCAGAGCCAGTCAACCCACTTCTCAGGGACAAGCCCTCCCTAGGCATCTCTTATTCTCTACCCTGCTAAGGTACTGATTCATACCTTCCCAATGGGTCATCGTCTCTTGTGGGCCATCGTTTCTTCTGGCTCTTTCTGCTTGTGCATGTAGGTGAGTGTCGGGTTATTCGAGAGGAAGAGATACCTGCCTGTGTTCCATTGGCTTTGGTCTTTCCTCTGCCTTTTTCACTGATATCACCTCATCCATTACATTTTATGGATAAAAGTGATTCACTGAGGGCTGGGGGTTTAGCTCAGTGGTTCTGCCGCCTGCCTCAAAAGCGCAAGATCCGGAGTTGGAGCCTCGGTACAAAAAAAAAAAAAAAGTGATTCATTGATTTGGAACACCCTGTCCTTCAAAAAAAAAAGGAAAAAATGAAAAGAATAGTTTCAGGGAAAATGTTCCAAGGCAAAGAATTAGCAAGGCTGTGATTCATGTCTGCCTTAAAACGAATCCCCAAAGCAGGCTTGTGACTTTGGTTCTGATCCATAAAATCGTACAATACAGACCGCAAACTCTTTTGATCCCTGCTGTGGGGCACGACAGCCTTTGGGGTAAGCATGGTGAGGAAGCAGTGCTAGAACTTGCTTCAACCTTTCTCGCAATAAATGCATCCATCCTTACATGGGTCACTGGGATGTGCTGTGCAGCATTTGTCTGAGAAACTCATTTGGTCAATTTTTATCATTCAGTTTAATTATTCTGCAAATTAACATTACAGGCATGGAACTGTCAAGGATGCTTAGCTCTGGAAGAAACGTCATAAATCAGCGTTGGCAATGACTCTGATTACCATTTACTCAGCGTTTCTTGATGCCAAGAACAGCTCAGTGACGGCACAGTCATAATCCCCACACCTCGGTGAGGTGGTTTTTACTTAGCATCTTAATTTGGTAGGTCAGGAAATGGAAGCTGCCTGAGGTCACGCAGTTAGTAAACAGA